AAAAAGGACGGCATTCCACATTTATGGATTTCATAATTAGTAAAAATGAAATCGAACTGTTTTCTTATCAATTCATTGTTTAATTGATGAGTCGAGGATGCAAAGCTGGAATTGGGTATTAAGGTTTGATGTAGCATCCATATACGCTAACCTTCCTATAAGCCGCAATACGATAAATAAATATTACTTGGAAAAAAAATATTTTTAGGATAAAATCGAATAAATCTAACAATTATGTATCTGACTCCCCTTTAAAGGCAAAGTTCGTGCGTGTGTATTTGCGTGTGTGATAAAGAGGCCATAATGTCGAGCCCACTAGAAGACAGCTGCAAATTACTTTTGGCCAGCTGTTGTTTTGCTGTACTGCATCATCTTGGCTGACCGTTCGATTCCGGATAAAATATAATAAGCTTTCATCCCAATGGCTCCGAGATAAGTTAACCAAGAAGAATCTGTCATTGTCTTCTGATAAGCTCGACTCATAGAAATCTCTTTATCACAACAATTTACCCGAAATGTAAACCAAGAGAATCCTCTAAACACATTTTATGCTTTACAAACATGCTAGCAGTTTAAAAGAAATGGCTTCGGATGATTCTTGATAAGACTTGCTATCCTTGAGAGTAATTAACTAATCATTTAATTTAACAAAGTAAAATCACTTTCTTACTAAAGTCAGCATGCTTTCATCAAAGTTAAAGAGGAATACTTCCCCGACAGAGTAAACCAGAGTGTTCCAGTAAAAGCCAATCAATAGCTGCTTAAAAAGAATTTGCTGTCATCTTCTGGTAGGATCGACTTTCCAATCTTTTCATCACACAGTTTCCTTCTAAACGCAGTAGTTCTTTTTGGTGCAGAATCTACTTGCACTTATTTTTCTTATGTCTTAATCCATGCACATATGCACAAAAATATCTCATCAGCTTCAACAGCTGTATGTTTTGGAGACTTTCAATGAGATTAATTTAAAGCTGCTTATTATTTGTATATTCAACCTTCGTATGTTTGGCAGTATGCAATCTGAGCGATGGTTAAAAAAAGTGCCATTAACAATTGATTGCCTAGGGCAGAAGTTGCGCTTTGTTCTTACTATTTGCAGTTATCATTATTGTTTGTTTCCCTTAGGCATACCTTAGTACATATACAGGTGCATAGGTCAAGATTGGTATATGAGATAAACTAATGAACCATGGATATAGACAATATTTTATATGACATGAATTTGCTATGCTGATTTTCATCAAAATTACTGATAAAACATTTTTATTGTATTCGAATTTGACTACCTCGTGGACAGCTTTAGTCGACCAATGAATCTGTCTTAATCTTCTGTTAGGTTCGATTTTAGAATATTGTTATTACAATTTTATTTAAGCTGGAAGTGAATTTTTTTACAGCGAAACCTTCTATAAGTATACACACAAAATACTTAATCAGCTTCAGCATCCGTGCATGCGGCATTATGCAATCTATGTAATGGTTACAAAACAGGCATTAAAATTTGGTGACTGAGGACAGAGGATTCTTAGTCTTGGATACACATCAAGATACAAACCTACACATGCTTCAAGATTGATGCTGATACAACCTATGCAAGTATCTATATCCTATTAAAAATGCATCGGCTTGGACGATAGTTACGTAGCATGAATTTACACCAGACTCGATTGAGATTGTCTCGAAGATATCATGAATCAGCATATTTTAAATAAGCCAACCAATTAATAAGCCTTCGTCTTACGGTGAGATTAGTTTCCTAAGTTTTTCTTCAAACAATTTTAATCGAAAGTAATTGAGCTTAGCAAGCTTCTTTTATGGTAATGGTCCGGCTTATGGTGAATTTTTATGTTAATCCTAATCCATGCACATACATACACAAAACACAAATTAATCAGATTTAGCTTTCGTGCCTCCGACAGGGAGATTTTGTAGAACGCAATTAGTCCGAAGTAGTCTGCCATAGTACTTGTCATGATTCCCAGCATCAGACAATGGACTTGGCACATTCTCAAACGTTTCGATGGCATCATAGTCGGCATTATCAATGAGTTTTGCCATTCGCCGCACCAAACTACGAACTCGTCAAAGAGACGAGTGAAGTGAATCCCTCGACAAACGTTTGCCGAAAACGGTTACACTATCACTCCTCTTTCTGTCCTGGCCTGTCTATTAACTCCTTACCCTCTTATCACACTGTCGCCCTATCACAACTTCTCACTTGTTTACATTCCACTCGTCAAAATGTGGCCCTTTTGTGGCAAATTTAGTGTGCCTCATCACACTTGCTATTTCAATTTACGATGGAAGTAGAGGAAAGTGAACGGTCACCGTTACTGGACGTTGAAGTGATTCGGTCTAATGAGACGCCCAAAAAGAAATTGTTTAAAAAGAACCTCTATGCTGGGATAATACTCAATTTCCGTTCCCATCACAATTACAGGCTGAAGATTGGAATAATGAGAAGCTTGATCATCCGAAGCCTACGCCTAACGGATGTAGAATTCTGTGACGAGGAGCTGGACAAATTGACGGGGATATTCCTTGGCAATAGCTACCCTAACGAAGTAATACAAAGAAACATATGGGCCGTGAAAAGCCGATAGCATAGCAGGGACTATGAAAGTACACTAAGGACGATGAAGGACTCACAAAAAAAGATATGCCTACTCAAAAACTACGGCCAATATTGATTAAATGGAATATTCAGATGGTCATGAACGAGGAATCAACACTTTGCACAAGTTTTCCGATGCAACATGAAAGGGTAGACAAATTGGACTTTTCAGAAGTTTACTGTATATCATACGGCGGCTGCGGACAGAAATATATTGGCGAAACAGGGAGAAAAATTAGGATACGAATCAAGGAAAATCAGAGGATCCGCAGGAAAATGGATACCAAAAGATCAGAATTAGTGGAACACATCGCACAAACTGGACACGATATCAATTGGAGGGCAACAAAAAGAAGAGCTCCATACGGGGACAACGTATGGAAGCGCAAGATTAGGGAGGCCGTTGACATCCTTTGGGAGAAAAATTTAATGAACGGGAGATTAGAGAAATGTAGAGTTATCCATAACTTAGCCTGCTACCTAAGCAAACTCGGGGAAAACATGAATGGAGCAAGACCAGCTAAAAGGAGACGCCTGGATCAAGGATCTACCGCTAACAGGAGGAAAAGGGATCGCCATGAAGAAAGGGGGTGGAAGGGGCTTTCGGCAATAAAACGAAAATGTTGTCAGTGATTGATGCCCATTTCGAATAAACCAGTACAACTTTGGGGGCCTGGCAGTTAGGGAGCTGGGCAGACTGATAAGCAAACCGTCACGGAAATTTGGAGTTATGGCCAAAATGTACTAGAAATCCACTTGAGATGCCGCATGCGACCAGAGATAGGCGTCCATTGTTTGCTCAGATAACATGGGTTTAATCAAGGAGAGGACCCGTGAAGGGAAGGTCTGATATCTGCAGGCATGGCAATCAGAGCTTGGTGCTGCGAATGGGAAAACTCACTGATGATGCCGACTACGATGCCGGCGAAATGTGTGATAATGTACCAAGTCCACTGTCTGATGCTGGGAATCATGACAACTACTGTGACAGACGACTTCGGACTAGGTGCGTTCTACATAGTCGCCCTGATAACAAGACTAAGTTGAGACAACGAGGTCAACCGACTTCTATAGATCGAAAGGAGACTGCGATCACTTCAGAGACTACAACATCTTTGTCTTCATATCTTTTATTTATTTAGACTACTTTGAAATAACCACTTAAAAAAAAGTGCATGCATGGTTTGATTTGAGAAAAGACATCATAAAAGCCCAAAATATGCAGCTCATAGAGTCTCTCACCTTAACCAACCCCGTATTTGGGGCTAATTCAGTGGCGCAACCGTAGTAGCCGTAGTCCTCCCAGGCGACCGGAAAGAGGTCGACTCGAAAGAGTGGCGCTAGGCGGTGATGCGTGACAAAAATCCGGCCTCGAAGGCGTCCCGTCGACCAGGTCGTCTGATGCCGATCTCGCGTTAGCAACACTTCATTAGCCGCCTCCAGTTGGGCCAATTCAAAGGATGAATGGTACGTGTGAAAGACTAGATTACGTTTAACAACTCCGGTTTTCTCAAGGCCCAGACTCAAATCAGTCTGACAGTTGAGTTGAAGATTGTCGCCAGGCAGCATCAGACGCGGCTTCAGTTCTGCCGACAACAGAACCTGCCGGCTCGTCTGATCGCCAGTGTAGATAAAAGCGATATCACGCCAGACCGTGAAACTTCGTCTCATTCGTCCACAGGTCAGACTGGCATTACAACGGTATTCATAGTAACCGGGCGCCGGTAACTGATGCAACCGGAAGTGACTATCGCGAAGGAGACGCGGCACATTAAGATTTTCACTGCTCGATGGCAACGGACCGAGACGCCAGGTCCAGATAACAGGAACTTGAGGCGAATCGGCTGACACCTCAAAAGCCAGGCAATGAAGAATATCAGTTGCTGTGAAGATGCGGCGATCTGCAGGTCGAATACTGAGGCTTTCAGGTGCACCACAGGTCATAAGTGGCTGGGTCGATGCCGATGCTTCTCGGTCGTCCGGACGACGACAACGTACAACTGTACCCCGGACAATCTGATTGGCTAGCGCCTCGAACTGGTGGTCATGCCAGGCAACAAGTCGACTCAATCGTCGTCCTACTGGATGGACGACGATTTGTTCTGGCATCTCGTACGGCCTAACTCGATCCATCCACAGGTCGTCAGAACTTGAGGCAAGACTGAGCCAACGAAAGACGAGGCGAACACCGGTGGAGCCGGTTAGTTCAGCGTCGCTGTCTCGAGGCAGCCAAAGTCGCCAGACGAGGCCAGGCGGCTTCCAGAAGACGGAGATTTCACAGGCCTGTGGAAAGGGGACACGAAGCTGACGAGAGCCGGAAAGAAGCAGAAAGCCTCGCTTTGCCTGAAGCATGCATTTGTAGGAGCCTGAGTCGCCAAACTAAACACAAATTTAAGCTTCCAATAAAGAGACAGTCCAATCTAACTCTTGTGTTTGCCAATAAGTCTGACAAAACAACTACTGTTGAAATTATCAGTTCCTAATATTATCGGAAAAAATGTACATGAACTTAGAGTGAATCGGTAACCAGGGAAAAAGGTGTCAACTTAGGTCACCCTGATAACTCAACCAAATTTAGAAAACGGGGTCACACCACTTGCATACAGCGAAAGGAGACTTCTACCAAAGCAGAAATCTCAAAATCCTCGTTTTAATATCTACAATTTATTCAATCTAGTATGAAAATGAGCAACTATCTAAAGCTTTGTATCAAACTTTTATAAAAGATAAAATAAACACACTCTTTGGTTGTGGACTCATAGTCTTCTATATAGTTATTCACTATTTACATCTAAATTCTTTGAGAGGTTAAATGAAATCAAGATCAAATCAATCTTTATGAAATATTACTTGAGAATTAGGAATACTCTGTATCTTAACAGGAAGGCGAAATAATCAGGAATTGGGGACTAAAAGCGGTGCTCAAGAGGCTATTATAATTTTTTTCAGATAGAAATCCTATTTATTTTTCAAGTTAAATTTCTATAAAATAATGTGTTTATTTTGTCGTTTTAATCATCCTATTCAAAAAAGGATGGCTAAACACAAAAGTGCCCATAGAGCTTGCTCCAGATCAGGCCAGCTCACCTCTTTTGATTCTATTCGTTTAATTTATTATCGCTTCCTGGAGAGAACTGCTGCCCTGACTTCATCTACCCTCAGATGTCTGTTGTAGGAATGGCGGCGACAAGGCAAACTGTATTTGCCATTGAACTCGATAAACTAGTACAATTAAAATGATTAGTTTCTAACAATATCGTAGTAAAATGGAATACCAACTCTAGATAATTGAGACTGCTTAGGGTGATGAGGGACTAACTTTTGATGAAGCCCGCTTGGGTAGCTTGAACTGATCCCACATAAAGTCAGTATCAATTAGTCTCAACTAAAAAAATATATTTATTTGATAGGAAGGAAGAGCAGATTCAGTACAATTTTTGCAATTACATAAATGTTTCATTGTCTGACTAGTACTAGTTTGGTCGCTATTATTAGAAAGCGGATGAATTATGAATGAATGATTAAATCATTTTGGTGTAAAATCTCAGGACCTGATATTGACTTTTATTCCGACCCTTGATATAAGTTATATATCTGATTTACTAATGGTCTCTAAAGTCTGCTCATAAAACGAAATATAAGTAATGTAATAGGTTGTTATGGCAAATATAACTTTTTTTCATTGATGAACCCAGCAAATAATGTGATATGGGAAGATTCCTAGCCTTCCTTAAAATGCACACCCTTTTTTGGGCCCAAGGACACTCGTGCCAATGTGGCAAAGTGGCTAACATGTCGAGATTACAAAGTACACTGTCATGGTTCGAGTAATGCTGAGGATGTTGATAAAACCTAGGCGAGGTTTAAACTACAGTCCACCCTTAATTAGTGCACCTTTTGGGGGAGCATTACTATGTGAAATTCACTGGAATCTTCAGCTCTACTTATATCATTGCGCAAAAATTCAGCTACCAATCCTTCATCAACTTAAACGAAATAGGGTGGATACATCTCCTTGATAGAAATTACTGATAATAGCAACACTTCAGGATCCAAATTAATGCAATAACAAGCCAACCGAGATGGGCTACCCATACGAAATTCTCCAATAAACATGAAAAATTTCATTGAGATGCAAGATGTACATCTCATATAACTGATTACATAAGTCGTAGATATGAAGACGAAGATTTTCATATCTCTGTTTTGGTTGAAGTCTTCGTTCACTGTATGTAAGTTGTGTGACCACTTTTTCATAACTTGGTCGTGCTATCAAGGGGACCTAGTTTGACACTCTTTTTCCACTGGCTACCGATAGGTCCTTCTTTGCTCTAAGTATGTTCAAGCAAATGACACAATTATCGCTAACTCTGTCCTCGTACAATCCCAACTCTATTTTCTTCATACAAGGATGTAAACGGCCCCTTATGGTTTCACTGTATGAGACTCTGCTTTCCGTTGCTTTCCAACTGATCTTGTGTCCAGTCGGTGCAATGTGTTCCGCTATTTCTGACTTTACAATATTCATT